GAAAAAAAACAGAATTCAGGTAAAGGACAGATTTTCAAGAAAAAAGACTTCTCTTGAAATTTAGGAAATAAAATTATCTATATAATTATCTATATAATTATAATTATCTATATAATATAATTATCTATATAATATAATTATATCTCAAATTCAGTTATATAAACAATTAATTGAATTGAATTAAATGAATTAGTAATGTTAAATGATTTTTGTATTTAAAAATGTTGATACGTTCAATTATATTAAAATTAAATATTAAAATTAAATTAACAACTCAAATTTTGATTATAAAAAATAAAGAATAATATATGTTTGCAGTAAAACGTTTCAAACTAGATTGTTGCATTACTTATAAAAATTTATAAATAAAGCATTAAAAAAATTAGTGAATAATAAAAATATCCGAAACTAATACCAAAAATAAAACCGTACTAAGTTTTTCAAAAATTAATTTAAAAAAAGTGGTTTAATATGATTTTTCGATTGGTAATTATTAATATTAAGATAAATTCAAAAATTGATTTATTTCAGATAATTTCAATAAAATTATATGATAAATAGAAACCTGAATGAAAATGATTAAATATAATTAGAAAAACTATTTTTACTATTGAAATATTTAAAAAAAAAGTGTAAGTCGCTTTCAAATATTTTTCTATATGCTCATTTTCGAATAAGAATCCAAAATAATTATCAAGTAACTTTACTTGATAATTTTCATCATAAAAAATCATTAGGCAGCCCCCAAAATTCATTCACTTCCTCTCTTAATATAAAACAAATGTTGTCCCCAGGTAAACAAAAGGTTGCTCATACCTGTCAGGTATGTATAAAGATATTATCCTTTTCCCTCTACAATTCATTCATGTTTCGAAAATTATAGTGAACGGACGTGGAAAATTTATATCAAAAACGAATGAAAATTACAAATTACAAAAATAAAATTCAGTGTTGAATTTACATTGAGAGAATAAAGTGTGTAAAGTGACTCATAAGATATTTGGTTAAAAATGTGCAAAATGGCAAATAACTTTGTTGTATTTTTGGTGTTTGTTGGATTTTATTTAATTGGTGATGCAAAATGCAGAGTTGTTAATCAAATTCAATACTTTGATGGATATTCTGATAATAAAGTGGTTTCTGAGTGCAGGAAGGATTGTTTGAAAAAGGTAAAAAATAGTTATATTTTGTAAAATAATTTGAACCAAATTTTACAAAAATTTACTTTTTAATTTACAACATTTTATTTTTAGCTTGCTTTAATTTTAAGTATAAAAATTAAACGTTTACTACTTTCCATTATTTAGTCATTATTATCAATTAAAAATTAACGAAAAATACAAATTTTTAAAAATTGTGAATTAATTTCAATCAAATGTTTTTTTGCAGAAACGTTTATTGCAATAAAAATATGTAAAATATCTATTACTTTTCATTACAGTAATTTAATTTTTATTATTTGAAAAGTGACTTCAGCAAGCTAAAAACTAAAATGTTGAAAAATATTTAGCAGAAATAGTGATTTTGTAAAAGAATTTGAAGTTTCCAAAAAAAAAACGTTTAGACTAAAAACGAAAATATTTTTCAATATGTATTGTTTAATATATTTATTTGAAAATTAATGACTTGATTTCATTTAATATATTTATTTGAGAATTAATGATTTATTTTCAAAGTGACTTCAGTAAGCTAAAAATAAAATGTTGAATTTTTATTTTAAAAAAATAGTGATTTTGTAAAATAATTTGAAGTTTACAAAAAAAAAATATAATCAAATATAAATTCAAATGTTTTAATTAAAACAAATTTTGTTGATTATGATTTTATAAAAGTAAGTAAAATTTTTATTTTAAAAGAGTTTGTCCGAATTCAATACTGAAGTTTTGATATTTTTTAAATCAAATAATCTAATATTAAAATAGATTTTAAATAAGAATAAGTAACTGTATTGCATTTTGTAAACGATTTCATTACCATTATTTAAACAAATAATTAGCACATAGTAAAATAATTCTTAATACTGAATGAATTAAAATGAAAAAAAAACCTAAAATTCTAAAGTATTAATTAACTGTGCAATTTTTATAAAATATATAAATCATACATTATAAATATAATACAATTTTTCAAATTTTAGTTTTTTTATAAATTATAAAAATTAGGTCTTATTTAATGTTAAATCGATAAACTTATGAAATATATAATCAAAATTTAAAGTTAATAAAGTTAAAATATAAAACTACATTAAATAATAGTATAATGAATGAAATTATTATCAAAAAAAATTTAAGCGCAAAAAAAAATAGCTAAAATAAAACAAAACGTTCATTTTATTTGAAGTATATAGTTTTCAATTTTGTTAATTAGATATTAAAAAACATAATTGAAAATTAATTGCAAAATTATTTTATTAAATATTGTGAGTAAAATAAATTCAAATATTTTAAACGCATAAAAAAATTACCACAAATTATAATTCATTTGAATAACGTTAAAATGTGAATAAAATGGTAAAATATATATTATAATTCAAATTGCATTTTTTACCATAAATTATTTATGAACTAACATAATGTTAAAATCGTTTTCAAAATGCAATAGAAAAAATCTTTTACTATGATCGAAATTAAATTCCCTATGAATAAAAAAATAAGAGAATAAATAAATATATATGAATAAAATAAAATAAAACAATATCAATTATTTAAAAATAAAACATTTACCAGTGAAAGCGTCTACAAAAACAATATGTGTGAATATATTTTTTAATAAAAAAATAGAAATGTTTAATATTATTTGATTATACTTTTACTGTATGAATATATATTAAAAGTTTTCAATATTTTGCAGTTTTTACAAGAAGACACAAATGCCATCATAGTGACCGATGACTGTTCAGCGAGACCAAATTGTTTTATGGTAAGTTTTAATTTGATATACAATTTATTAAATATTTATAAAATAATGGAAGTGTACGTTATTAATTTACTCATTGTATTTAAAAATAATCAATTGTCTTTGAATTTACAGTGCTGGGATTATTGTGCAGTTCTCTACGAATCGAGGATGACGAATGTTTTTGGTGAAATTTGCTCTGACTACTTTTGCGTAAGTATATTACAAATAAAATATATATGTAACATCATAAATAAATAAATATATATATATATATATATATATATATATATATAACGTCAATAAAACAATTTCTGGCAAAAATAAACATTCTGTCACTTAAAAAACGGTTCATAAATATCTGTTGGAAATCATTTATTATTTGTAAATGATCGGCCGGGCAGTTTTTACATAATTATTGGATTTTTTTTGTTGAATATTATAAAAATTCGTACTATGATAGAATTCACAGTCAAAGAAAACTGCATATAAAAGGCGTTCACACTTTAGTCAAAATGCAGAGAATTATTCAACGAATTAAAATAGGAATAATCTAAAATTCATTTTTCTATATTTATACGTTTGGACACATGATATGTGACATCATTCAGCAGTTCTAAAATAATAAAGTACGTCACATAATTATTTTATTAAAAAATAATTACTGTATCTAGAAAAACAACAAACAAAATTAAAATGTCATTGCAAAAATTGTAATTAGCACTGAATTTTACTAATAACTATGGAAAATATAAATTAATTATAAGATCCAAAAATATTCAATAAAACAAATAATTCTTATTTTATTTTCTTAGTTTTTAAAATAATGTTAAACTTTGTTTTGTTCTTGTAGTAATTTGGATACAAAAAACTAAGTCGTTTTATTCAAAAAATTTCTATCGGATTCTATTCAACTGTTGGCATGAAATTGTAGTTTATTTTATCTAGTTTCTTCTATGCTAACTAAAAAAGAGTGCCCTCATATAAAGTTTCTGAGTTATTTGACAAAAACTAAAAAAAATGAGCCAAATTTTCTATTTGTTGTTGAAGAATAAAAAATCGAATTCAAAGTCGTTTTTTTTTTCAAAATATTTCTATCGGACAGTATAGAACTGTTGGCATGGAATTGAAGTAAATTTTATCTAGTTTTTCCTAAGTTAACTGATAAAGAGTGCCCCCATATAAAATTTGTGAGTTATTTGATAAAAACAAAAAAAAATCCCAAATTTTTTATTTGTTGCTGAAGAATGAAAAAATCGAAAAGATTGCATTTTTTTCTTTGTACTGTATAATCGTAAATAAATTATTTGAAATTAAAAATATATTAATAAATATTATTAAAAATAAATTATTTAAAAACTGCAAAATGATGGCATAACATGTATCAAAATGTAAAAATATTTTTTTTATATTATTTTTTTCAACTCCTCCAGGCTGATATATAAAGTACAGATCTTTAGATATTAAAAAAACAATTCTAGTCATATTCTAATAATATAATGAATATTAATATAATTTATTATTTGTACTAGTTTCAACACCAGGTGTGTGCGATCACTCAGCAAAACAAAACCTTCAAAATTTATAATTACATTAATAAACCAAAATCAATGCCAGAAAATCAAACCAATTTGTTATAAATCTAATTTTCTGACAATAATTTTGATTATTTAAATTTTATACTTAGAAAGTTTCATCCTGCTTAATGATGACACACAGCTGGTGTCAAGACTAGTGCAGATAATTACAAAAATTATATTTATACTTTAATGTCGAAAAGACAATTACAGCAAAAAAGTTACTGCTGATTGATTTTATTATCTTGGACATAAATTGATGTATTTTCTAGCCAAAAGTTGTCAGTTAGGTTGTCAAATATCAATTTGGTAATATGTATATATTATCCCTTTCCCAGTACTGTTGCATCAAAATAAAAATCACCAGTAAAAAAAATTCTAACGATACATAATATCGGGAAATGCCGACCATTGGGTTGCCACAAAACATCTTATAAGACTTGTTGAGTTCTGCTGTTAAATTATATATATATATATATATATATATATATATATATATAATATATAGATAATATAAACAGTACTTACCTTTCTTCCTCCATTTCAGTTCCCCGGCTGCAAACACGCCTGCAATTTCCACCTCGACAATGACAAGTCCATCAAAAAAGCCAACAGGAAAAATATATTCGACACCATGACCAAGACACCAACTCTGCCCGAACCAGCAAACCTAGAAGAAGAAATCAGTGAGATGGAGAAATACATAAAAACACAAACAAATATATTTAAAGAAACCAGCATGCTGATAGAAGATGAGCAATTTAATTTAGGAGGCAAAACATTCCACGAGGTTACTTTGCTGGTGCCAAATACAGATTATGTATCGGATGAACAAATTCCTGATTCGGATGATTATGAGTCTTATGATTATGTACAGTCTGATAACTTGAGTCCCGAAGATTATAGTAGTTTGTTATCAAAATTGCAAGAGTTGATTTAAAATAAAATACAAGAGTGTAAAATTTGTACATAGTTAATTTAAGTCTAATTATACCGCACTATTTATTTAATTTATGAATATTATATTTAGAAATGTATATATTTTATATGAGGTTACAACTGTATATATAAATGCAAAATTAATATAAATTAAACCACAAGTATAAGAAATATATTTGTTTAAAATATGAGCATGTTGGCTTTTTTTATTTGCATCCTCAGGATAAAAAAATAAAACTAACTAGGTGTAAGTGGTTTTTTGCCCCAAGACAAGTAGCATAAGTAAAAATAATCAGCCTAATCAATAAAAAATCAGTATATTAATTTATGAGTCTTTTATAAGTATATTGAGTTGTATTGTATTGTAGCTTACTAAAAAAAAATCAAAATGAATAGAATTAGTGAATCATACATTACAATGACAACTATTGATATATTACAACAAAAGACATTTCTTTATTATGATTACATAATTGAAACTCAAAAGTCTAGTTAAGTTTTTTTTTATTAACTAGTGGTGTATGGCATCGTGCCTTGAGGCAATTTGCTGGAACTTCTCATACTGTAATGTAATATTCGAGGAAATTCAAATGTTTTCAAATTTATTATAAATACTGTAACATTGTCTAATATTATATAAACAGAACCGCAAAGTTAAAATTATTTCAAGTAATTAAGTGAGCTTTAGAACTTTAGCCAAAGTTAAAATTAAAATCATAATTATTTTCAATATGCCAAAAAATTTGAAATGAAAAAATTGTTTTTTTAACACAAGCAGAAACTTTATTGTTTTTAGTGTTCGAAGAGGAGGAAACATACCAAAAATCTAGTCAATTATAAAGGATAAAAATGTAATCGCAATTATAAAAAGAATTCCTAACAAAGTTCATTTAGGAAGACATGTGCTACATAAAATTAGCAAGATAATTGTACAAATCAGCAGAAATATAAAAGTGTTTTTTTAAATAAGATATCACAAAGATGCAAAATCAAACTCGATATATGTATTTTTTGACATCAATTCATAGACCTTATTTTTATTGCATCACAGAAAACAATTGACATTTTTAGTTCTGCAATTTTTTGCACAACAAAATGCAATAAGTATAAATTTGTTAAATTTGTCAATGATACCAGATATCAACAGTTAAATGCCAATTTATAACAAACCTATTATATCATATTTCAAATATAGAAATATTTCCAGATACCTAATATTGATTGGATTACAAAAACAAAATTGGAAAACATGTACAAGTCACCTCCATATAACACTTCTGAAACAGTCTTTTTGATGCTAAAATAAAGATGCACAAACAAATTGGTGTTATATAAACCAACATCAATTGTGTTAATTGACAAAAACAAAATTGCAAAAATTTGCAACCAAATGCAAAAAGTTTAAATATTTCCAAATGTCAACAGCCCAATTCCAATTTACAACTACCTACTATTCCAATTAGAAATAATGATTGGATATCGTGAAACAGAAATATCAATTGGATTTGGAAAACTATATAAATACAGGTAATCTTCGTATAACATGGATTCGATCAAAGTTCAAGAATTGTTTGAAAAATATTCAAAGCTTTAATTGTTTCTAGGAAGTATTTTAAAACTGTTTGAAATAAAAAACTAGATAAGTATATAGTAAATAAATTAAATAATGAATAAATAATTATACAAATCATGTAAAATACTGACATGAGCCTTATAAAAAAATCATACTGAAGGCTTGTAAAATAAATTCAAAATTATTGTAATCACCATACAATAATGTAGATTTTATCTTTGTAGTTCAAATAGTTTCAGGAAAAATAATACTCAATATTATTTAATGATAATGCTAAAACCATATTACTGTACAAGACCTCCAAGAATTAATAAAAGTTAAAAAGTTCAATATAAAAAATGTCTATCCCATTACTTACTTAAATTAAGATATTTCAAATTAATGTGCATAAAATTAAAATAAAACTTCATAAGAGCTTTTAAAAAAAATTATAAAAAGCTAATCGAAGTCTTAATCCAATATTCAGAGCACTTATCTCGACTTCCAATTCTCTTCCAACCAAAATTTCTACTTTTATATTGTACCAGGTAAATGAGTAGGCTTCGAATAAAAGACTTGCTTAAATAAAGATGTTGAAAATATCTTCTAAAATCCAATATAGATTTTATAGAAAAGTAATAAATAAAGTTTCAACAATTCCCAAAACTAGAAAAATATTAATTATATAGTCGATACACTCTTCGAGAGTTAAGGACTGAGAGTTCGGAGACCCATAAAGTCGTAGATATTTGAAAACAACAATTTTCAATCAGATATACATTTTTTCTTGCTACATATTTGTAATAGCCGTTGCCAGTGGAGTCTCAAATCTGTAGTTCATGATTGCTTTTAGTGTTCGAGAAAAGCAACAAATCTAATCAATTATAAATGATTATAAATGTAATTGAAATTAGAAAAAGAATTCCTAGCAATGTGTATCTCCAAAGACATGTGCTTCATAAAATTAGCAAAAAAATTGCACAAATCAGCAGAAATATAAAAGTGCTTCTTTAAAGCTATCACCTATATAGCACACAATGCCCAAGAAAACAAACTGGATTTATATAAACCAACATCAACTACTTTGAATCACCAAAACAAAATTGATGCTCTTAGTTCTAATGCAAGGAGTATAAATTCAAGAATGTCATGCGATGGAATAGCCAATTTACAATAGCCAATACAAGTGCCAATTTGTAACAAATCTTTTAATCGGATTCCAAATAGGATTGGATTATGTAATATAATAATATAGAATATTCCTAATTGATTATGAAAGCAAATGCAATTAGAGTTAGAAAAATAATTCCTAACAATGAGTATCTAGAAACACATGTGCTTCATAAAATTAGCAAAAAGTTGTGAAAATCAGTAGAGATATAAAAGTGCTTCTTTAATGCTATCACAAAAATGGACACAATGCCAAATCAAACAAACTGGATTTATAGAAACTAACAACTGCATTGAATTACAAAAACAAAATTGATGCTCTTAGTTCTTATGCAAGGAGTATAAATTCAAGAAACTTCATCGGATAATAGCCAAATGCTATAACAAATTTATTAATCAGTTTCCAAATAAATATATTGATTATATTATGTAATATAGAAATGCTTCCTAATTGGATTATGAAAGCAAATGCAACTAGAGTTAGAAAAAGAATTCTCAGCAATGTGTATCTCCAAAGACATGTGTTTCATAAATTTAGCAAAAAATTGTGAAAATCAGTAGAAATTCAAAAGTTCCTCTTTAATTTTGTTACCAAGATAGCACATGATGCCCAATTAAACGATTTATATTAACCAACATCAACTGTGTTGAATCACAGAAAAAATTCATGCTCCTAGTTCTAATGCAAGGAGTATAAATTCGAGAAACTTCATCGGATAACAGCTAAGTGCCAATTTATAACAAATCTAATTATTAATTAAACCAAATAGGTATATTGATTGGATTATGTAAGAAAGGAATATTTCCTAAATGGATTATGAGAGAAAATGTAACTAGAATTAGAAAAGGAATTCGTAACAATGTGTATCTAGAAACACATGTGCTTCATAAAATTAGCAAAAAAATGTGAAAATCAGTAGAAATATAAAAGTGGTTCTTTAATTCTATCACCGAGATAGCACAATATGCTAATCGAATTGGATTTATATAAACCAACATCAACTTCGTTGAATAACAAAAACAAAATTGATTCTCTTACTAATGCAACAAGTATAAATTCAAGAAACTTGATCGGATAATAGCCAAGTGCCAATTTATAACAAATCTAATTATTAATTAAACCAAATAAATGCTAGTTGGGTAATAGCCAAGTGCCAATTTGTAACAAATTTATTAATCGGCTTCCAAATAAATATATCGATTGGATTATGTAATAAAGTAATATTTCCTAATTGAATTATAAAAGAAAATGCAACTAAAATTAGAAGAGTTCCCAACAATGTGTATTTAGGATGACATGTGCTACATAAAATTAGCAAAAAAAATTGTATAAATAAGCAAAAATATAAAAGTGCCTCTTTAAAGCTATCACCAAGCACACGATGCCCAATTAAAAAAACTGTGCATTTTTTCATTAAAAAATTGCAAGAAGTACAAATTCTAGAAACTTCATCGGATAATAGCCAAGCGCCAATTTATAACAAATCTATTAACAGCTTCTATATAGGTATATCGATTGGATTATAATATAGAAATATTTCCTAATTGGATAAGGAAAGAAAATTTAACTAATTAGAAAAATAATTCCTAACAATGTGTATATTAACGATCTTAGTTCTAATGCAAGGAGTATACATTCGAGAAACTTTATCGGATAATAGTCACGTGCCAATTTATAACAAATCTATTAATCAGCTTCCAAATAGGTGTATTGATTGGATTTAGTAATATAGAAATATTTCCTAAATGGATCACGAAAGAAAATCCAACTAAAATTAGAAAAAGGTGTGTAGTAGACATATGCTATATTGAATTACCAAAAAAATTGCACAAATCAGCAGAAATATAGAAGTGCTTCAATTTTATCACCAAGATAGCACATGGCGCCTAATCAAATCAACTGGATTTATCAACTGACCAGGATTGCAAAAATAAATTGCAAATAAGCATTAATTTGAGCAAATTGCAATATCCAAATCCCAACAGCCAAATGTCAAATATCAAACCATAACGTACCTCCATATCAAAATTTCTATTTGCTAAAACACTGGCTAAATGACTACGCCTTCAACAGAAAACCATGCACATTCTTACGCAAATATTAAAAATTTGTTGCAAAATAATAAACTAGTATTGCTACAAATACTATGTTTAATTTTGACTCACCGTTTGCACAAAGATGAAACCGCCATTTATTACGATGTCAGTAGATTAATGTTCATGTAATTGCCATGGCACGTTACAAGCTTCATCGACAAGTACAACTAAATCCAAAATTATCTTTATTAATTCCTTTGCAGATAGATCTTTTCAGTCCAAAAATTTTGCACGTTTTAACTGCGTACTCGCCGGCATGTGCTCTAGCGTTACCATAGATAAACGAAGAGTAGATTGCAAACTCAGCGGTCTTAATTTTAGTTCCGCCTTCACAATGTAGGGGCGCTGAGTGCTGTGGCAGAGACATTTGCCATAGATACATCTAGATAGATAGGTACATTATTTCTAAATAAATTCATTCATTCTATTCATTTAAAATAAATATTTTCATTAACAATATAAGACTAAAAATAGTTTTACTATAATTCATTATTGAAATCATAAATTAGTTATAATTAAATCTATCAAATAATTTTTAAAACATGAATTAATACAAAAAAGTATTCTTTTTAAAACAAATCATATGTATAATATTTTTTTAAAAAATGATTTATTTCAAAATTATTTGAATATTCTGAATTAGAATATTTTTGGACAAATAAATAGTTGAGTCAATTCATAGAAAATGAATATTTCCAGTTAAAATTCAAGACAAAAAATAGTATGACCATGAATAATTATTGCTAATAAATTATAAAATCGAATTAATACAATAAAGTATTCTTTTTAAATAAATTCATATGTATAATATTTTTTTAATAAAATAATTTATATCAAAATTATTTGAATTTTCTAAATTTGAATATTTTTAAACAATTAAATAACATGGGGTCAATTCATAGAAAATAAATATTTCTATTAATAATATAGGACAAAAAATAATTATTGTTAGTAAAATATAAAATCGATTAATATATATATATATATATATATATATATATATATATATATTAGAGTGGTCCTTAAAATAGTCATTTTCGAATTTCTTTGCTCCCAGGGGCTCAAATGGATCCAAATTGATAAAAAACAATTCTCGGAAAGTTTTAGCTCTTAATATTAACGTTTAGATAGAGCGCAATTCAATCAAAGTTTGTATGGAAAGAGCATGGAAAAAATTTTGAAAATTGAAAAAAAATGTTTTAGGTATAACTTAGCGACAAATGAATGAGTTTTATTCATTCATTTGTTCGCTAAATTACATCTAAAAAACATTTTTAAAATTTTTGAAAATTTTTCCATACAAAACTTTGATTTCGATTCGAATTTATATATCGATTTATACTTCATTATATATGGCCTAACTCTTATAGTTTGTATGAGAAATGGATATATAAATGTATATATCGATTTATACATTATTATATTAATACTAGATGTCTCAAATTGTATGGGAATTGGATATATACATGTATATATTGATTTATACATGATTATATATATACTAGCTGTCTTATATTGTATGGGAATTAGATATATAAATGTATATATTGATATTTTTTGCAAGCCGGGAACATAACTATATTTATAATAGCGTATAAAGCGATATATAAATGTATATATCTATTTCCATCACTATATATGACTTAGCCGCCTTAGTTTGATTGGGAAATAAATATATAAATTTATATATTGCTTTTCTCGTCATTATATGAGCCGCTCAGTGCACACATCGACTAACTCCACTTTTGAAAAAACTGAGATATTAGTGGGAAAGAACTTGGAAATTATTATAATCATAACTTTTTATGATTATAATAATTTTCCAAAAGAATAAAAATTGCCACTGTGAAACAAAAATTTTTTTTGACCACTGAATCCATAAGTCATTTATTTATATTTTGATTAACTCCATTCTGTAGTGTATATGTTCTGGTTGGGTTGGATTTCGGGTTTCAAATTCATGATTTACGAATAAGAACACAGAACTGTAGGGTGTTGTGAGTCTCGAAAAAAATTTATCTAGTTTTATAAAAGACATCGAAGACGTTACAAACTTTGAAAAAATAACATACTAAAATTCGTGTAGCCGGCAAAACAAGAATATTAAAACTGCCTGAAGTTTATTGAAACTTGTTTTTGAACAAGTTTCAATAAACTTCAGGCTCTTATTTCCGTACTTTGGTACAGAAATAAGAGCTAACTTAATTAAAAATAAATTTCTGGTCGGTTAAAACAGTTATTAATCTATTAACTCAAGATTTTGTTATTATTGAGTCACGTGTGAAAAAAATCGAGACATAGTTTTACCAGATAGTTGATACAATATAATAAAAACATTTAAGAAAAAAACGCCATTGTAGCTAAGCCGAATGCTTCACTAAGATTTTTTATCTATTTTTTATTTATTTAGAACAATAAATCAATAACAGAAAAGTAACCATCACAGGGTGTCCAGAAAATTGGCCTAAAATGCGCTGAATTTAGAATAGAAAGGTCCAAACCCAACGATATACAATTTAAGTGTGACTGCAATGAAGATTTAAAAAAAGTTTAAAGTTTAAAAAAAGTTGAAAACTTGATTAACTCCACAAGTAATATCAAAACTTTAACTTTAATGATAATTATTTTCTCACTATTAATAGTTATAAAACTTATATACCGTTACATGTAAGCTATATATGTATTTATACGTTCTAAAATATATTTTTCAATTTATATTATAACAGGAATTTTTAAAAGCAATATACATTACTTTATCGCTTTTCTCCGCTTTCTGACTTTCGGAGTTAGTCGATGTGTGCACTGAAGGGCTCATATAGATCAAATTACATGCATGGAATCTTGCCTTAAGGCAAATTGCTAATACTTCCCACCGTAATAATATATATTAAATAAAATTTTAAATGATTTTAAATAGATTATTATAAATTTGGGAAGTATACAGAAAAGAAATTCTTAAAATTACAGTACACAAAAAACATCATGCTTTTACGATTACTATAACTTACCTTAACCTTCCTTCTACATCCGATAGTCCGCAATCACAAGAATCAAGATGCGACGTCCAATGAGGCGACTCTAACCACTACACCAAGAAGAGATACGACCAATGAGGTTCTGATAGACCTGACAGAAGTATTACAAAAGCAGTATTTCAAAGCGTGTGCTATATGCACATACTACTCATAACATATAAATAATAGTTATAAACTATGTCAAAATATCTAAAATGGATTTTCAAATCATCTATTACACCCGTTTTACCATAAATGACCTAAATTTTTAATTTATCATATTATTAATAACATGCAATAACTAAAACTGGAAGAAATTTTATTGTTTATTTGAAATTTATTGAAAAAATAAAATAAAATACTTAATAAATTTGCTTGGAGATTCAAACTCAAAACCTAAAATAAGAACGATTACCATTGCAACCGAGGCCATTTAACGATCTCGTCCATCTCATCACCGGCGAGCACCTCATTAAATTTGGTACATTTGCTAACAATAACTTCACATGCCTCCCTCGCCTTTTAAATTGTCGAATAAAAATCCCTATCGGATTCGAACCAGCATCCTTCTGATTAGAGTCTAGTTTAGCGCTCTAACCGATTCGGCCACGGAGACCAAAATTTTCGGGCGACTAATACTGGAAGGACATTCGTCGACAACCGACCATCATGATTCGAGTCAAGGTCACAGGGGGATGATATGGAAATATTAAATGTGCGCCCAGGGGGTTGAAAGTGAGCTCATTCGATTCTGTGGGTTCTTGCGAATTTCAAGCGGGGGGTTACAGGGGGGAAAATTTTGTCCGTTTTTCGCTCAGGAGACAAGAAAATCGACTTTTTGTAAATTTCACGTGTTTTCTATGGGAATTTTTTGAAAACTTTTTGCTGATCTCAATGATTTGCTCAAGGTCATTTATATGGATTGCAATCACGTGATCCTTGACCTTGACTACGTCATTGAGATCCATATAAATGACCTTGACACGTCATTGAAATCCAAATAAATGACCTTGACCAAATCATTGAGGTCAGCAAGAAGTTTTCAAAAACTTCCCATAGAAAACACGTGAATTTTACAAAAAGTCGATTTTCTCGTCTCCTGAGCGAAAAACGGACAAAATTTTCCCCCCTGCACCCCCCCGCTTGAAATTCGCAAGAACCGGAGGAATCGAATGAGCCCACTTTCAACCCCCTGGGTGAAAATTTAATATTTTCATATCATCCCCCTGTGACCTTGACTTGATTCATGATGGTCGGTTCTCGAAGAATGTCCTTCCAGTATTAGTCGCCCGAAAATCTTGGTCGCCGTGGCCGAATCGGTTAGAGCGCTAATCTAGACTCTAATCAGAAAGAAGCTGGTTCGAATACAAAGAGTGCTGATGGGGTTTTTTATTCGGCCAGTTAATGGGCGAGGGATGTATGTGAATGTATTGTTAACACATGTACCGAATTCAATCAATTGTTTACCAGGGACAGAGTGGACGGGGTCGTTAAGTGGCTTGGGTTGCAATGGCGGGGAGTTTCGAGTTCGAATCTCCAAGTAAATTTATTAAGTATTTTATTTTATTTTTGTATGGGAAATGAATATATGAATTTAGTAAATATAGATTTTTATATTGATTTATACATGATTATTTGGGTATATATATATATATATATATATATATATATATATATATATATATATATATATATGTACAGGGCCGGTTCTGGGGTCCTGAGCGCCCGCATGCAAGATTTGTTGTAGCGCCCTCCCCCCCCAATAATTTTAACTGTTTTAACAGTTTTTCATTAAAATTATATAAACATTTACGTGTAGTTTTTTTAATTAATTTTACATCATTCTGGATTTAGTACACATAAAAATAGATATAATCTAAAAGCGCATAAAATACATTGTTTTTAAATTTATTTAGAAAATCGAGACGATTCGCGGGTTGATCATAATCAAATATTTTTAAATTCTCAATTATTTCTAACGTATGTGTAATATTAATATTTAGGCTTTGAAACATTTAACTTATTTACTACGCGATTTATTCTATAGAGCAAATCACGCCAAAAGAGCAAAAAAAACTAGTATTTGATTTTTAAACATAACACTCGTATTTCAAGTTTTAAATTAAATATTATTTATAATTTATTTTTTCACTATTTACAATATCCAAAATTGTATCGTAAACTATCCTTACTGGTATCGTAAGGGCCGAATTGTATTTAGCTTTACTTTCCCATCAGATTGAGAGTATCAGATTGTAGTTTTGAAGTAAAGCTTTTAACTTATTTTTAAAGTATTGTCCAAAGATTAGTAAAAGATGCAAAGAAATTACATATTTCCTTAACTATACTGAAACAAACAAATTATATTTGTATCCGTATTATTGCTGCATATAGTTAATAATTAAATTATGTATAAAAAAAGCTTAAAGATTTTTGTTCCTAAGTACATTTTGCTTCCATTTTTCATATTTGCTTCATAAACCTAACCACGCATGTCTTCAGCGTTCAAAGTTCATCAGATGTGGAACATTTGCAACAAAAACAAAAGTTACAATTCAATAGTAATAATGAATAAACAAGCCATTTTCTAAACACTGACTTCCCATTTTCCATTTTCTTTATTATAATTAGTATATATTTCTTTAACAAGTTCCATTGCAACTAAATCAGCTCGCCATTTTTCACCAATAGCGCCCAATAATTAATTTAAACTTTCGTAGGTTTGCTCTTACGGGATTGAACACTAAATAATTTCTTTTTCGATTCCGCGTTAACTTCAAAAGAAGAACAAAAAAAAGTACATTAAACAATAAGCAGAACAATAATTTACAAATTTTCAGTGTTATTATTTGGTTAATTGTTTCTATTGATATCAGATTGCAAACTGAATATGCTTTTTGTGTCTCATAGTTAAGTTGGATTGTTTATTATAATCTATTAAGTATTCTAGATTTTATTTTTGAAAAAATATATAAATACTATATTATAAATTTCATTTCCAAACCTCGTTTTGGCGCCCCCTAAGGCGTGCGTCCGCATTTTTTGCATGCATTGAGATTTCGCATACCTTCTGCAAGAACCACTTGCAAAGAATAAGAATCATAACAGACTCGACATGCGATTGCGGAAGCGGAGAGGAAAACCATTTTGGGAATGCAACTTATTTCAAAACGAAAGAAGAACATTAATAATAAATTCACTTAAAGCAAATATTATTTTCCCAATCAATGAACAATCATTAGTAGCTAGTAACAATTTAAAAATTTATAAATATATATTTAATTTTATTAATAATATAAAAATTAATTTATAAGTTAATGATTCAATAAAAACATGTAGTAAATAATTGTAAGAATGGCTTCTGGCCTTATGATGTATATCAAAAGCCAATAAATAAATATAAAAAAAAAATCTAAACAAAGAGTGCGTTAAAATCTTTCATATTTTATATGTAAACTTATCAAATAAAACTAATCTAGTCCACTTTCAAATTTTAGAACACTTAAATGTGTAACTAGTGGGGTGGGTGGCATCGTGCCTTAAGGCAAATTGCTGGAACTTTCCGTACCGTAACGAAATGTTCGAGGATTACTGAATGTTTTCAAATAGATTATTATAAATATTGTAACATTGTCTAATAATATTTATAAATATTATATAAACTGAATTGCAGAGTTGAAATTATTTGTAAAGTATATTAGAACTATAGTCAGAATTAAAAATAAATATTTTCGATATACAAAAAACTAAAAAAAAAAAAAAAAAAGGGACAATTTTTTTTTCCAAAATCGATTATTTTGTTAAGACAAGCAGAAAGTTCTTTGAATCATTTAAACCGGACGCTTAGTTCTCTCAAAAACTGCTATTTTTTACATATTTAGCTCCGTATCTTCAAAATGGCTGGGCCTGCCTTTGCCAAAAACTAATAAACACTTCTCCCAATCATTACTAATTGAATGTTTTTTAAATCATTCAAATCGGATACTCCGTAATCTCAAAAATACGATTTCTATTTTCTGCACTCTTTGCTCCGTATCTCCGAAACGCCTGGACCTGCCTTTGCCAAAAACTAATCAGCTCTTTTCCCTATCAATAGGAATCAAATGCTTTTTGAACCATTCAAATCGGTTGATCCGTGCGCCCGAAAACGTGACTGGAAATTTGTATCCATACATACATACATTCACACACACACACACACATCCATTTTTTCTGAGGTATGCCAAAATGTTCAGAAACCTTCAAAACGTCGAGAAATGTAAAAATTTTCAATTCCGATTTTCGGCCCATTACAATAACTTACCCTACGGGAAGTTAATAAATATAAATAATTTTTAACTTCCCGTAGGGCAAGTTATAGTAATCGCAAAAAAATCGAAAATGAAAATTTTTATATATCTTTACGTTTCAAAGGTTTCTGAACATTTTGGCATACTTTAGAAAAAATGGATGTATGTGTGGGTGTGTGTGTGTGTGTATGTGTGTGTGTATGTATGTACGTGTGTGTATGTATGTGCGGATACAAATTTTCGTCGACGATTTCGGGAACACGGATCAACCGATTTGAATAATTCAAAGAACATTCGATTCGTATTGATAAGGAGACGTGCTGATTAGTTTTTGGCAAAGGCAGGTCTAGCCGTTCCGAAGATACGGGGCAAAAAGTGCCGAAAACGGTAACTCAGTTTTTAAGAGAACGGAGCGTCCGATTTAAATAATTCAAAAAACATTTCACTTGTATTGACAAGATGAAGAATCGATCAAATTTTCATAAAGGTAGGTCTAGCGGTTTCGGAGATATGGAGGAAAAAGTAAAAAAATGAGCCATTTGGCGGTCAAAAATGATCATTAGACATATGCACATCAAATTATCAGATATTTTATAGAGATTTTAACAATAAGTATACATTTTGTTAACATTCCTATGGGTTCCGTACCAATGCTTATGCGTTAGACAGCGACGCGGCGCTTACGCGCTTTATATTTTGTCCCTATGCAGTTAAATCAGTACGATTGCTTTGAAAAAAAGTTCAGATCTTCCACAATATGTCAAAATAAAGAAAAAAAAATTTTTTTTCAAAAAAAAAAATTAAAAAAAATTATTTTTTTTAAAAAAATTATTTTTTTCAAAAAAAAGTAATTTTTGGTCCATATATATAGTTTCTCAAAAATATTATTTTTTCAAAGTACATTTTTTTCAAAAACGTTAATCGTTTTTAAAAAATTAATAATATTTGGTACGGGAAGTTCCAGCAATTTGCCTTAAGGCACGATGCCTTAATTGCCTTAAGACAGAATTCCACTTACAGCTAGTTGAATTATTAAAATCTTAAAAATGTTTATGAAATACTACTATCTGCAAATAGTAAATTGCATTAAATTTGCATGATTACAAAAGCAGATTGTGTGCATATTATTACCTATTGCTTCCCCATATATGTTTTCACATTTATTTATGAATATGTTTAAAAATATTCAAAAAATCATTCCTAAAATGTCCATGAACATTTTTAAAGTAATGCCCATGAATACTCAAAAATAACCTTAAAATGTTCATGAATATTTTTTATAACTTTAAAATATCTGAATTTATCAAAACAAAAACTCAAAATGTTTATGAAGATTCTTTCAAACATTCATATATAATTTTTAGAAAATTCTCATAATATTCATAAATAATTTTTAAATTATTAAAATCTTTAAAGTGTTCAAATATAAACTGCAATAGTAAATTGCAAAGAGCTTTAAGATGTTCTGCAAAATCAAAATGAGTAAATGAGTCAAAAATATCCTTAAAATGTTGATGAATATTTTTTATAACTAAAACGTTTATGAATATTTATCAGGACAAAAACTCAAAATGATTATGAAGATTTTTTAAAACATTTATATTTGAAATAATTTTCAAATCATTTCAATCTTCAAAAATCTTTATCACTGCAAATAATAAATTGCAAACAGTAAAATTTCAATTGTACTGCAAGTTTAATATGAGTAATTAAATCAAACTATTTCTTTAGCATTTTACAAATTTATTTTTCATATAATACATTAGAAATAATCTCCAACACCACTTATCGTTTACCGCCAACCCTGGGGGCTGCTTTCTGGCTCACTTTAGCGGCCTTAGCTTTTGGTGGGGCTTTCACTTTAGGTGGAGCTGCAGCCTTCTTTGCTGCTTTCGTGGATTTCTTCTGCTCTTTTGCAGCCCTAGAAAAAAAAGAAATAGGTTAAAATCACTTTAGAAAAAATAGCTTATAGATAAAAAAATAAAAATATATAAAAGTGTTGAAAAAAAAATTCTGTACTGTAATAAAGGTAAATTATAATTCATTTACCTCAATCAACTAAAAAATATTTTCAATAAATTCCTTTGACAAGAAGTTTCATTTGTTTACTCTAAACGGTTTTTCGGATTTTGATAATTCTTTTTAGAGTTTGCCAAAGGAAATTTTTAAGATTTAATGAACGATAAGACTGTAGTAATATTGCAGAAATAAATGGCAAAAATTACAAAAAATCGTCAATTCACTTGAAGTTTGAAATTAGCTGAAATTTTGAGCCTAGATAATATTAGAATGTAATATACAAAAATGTAATGTCTACATTATTATTGCCGAAACGCAGCTGAGATGTGCCAGAAATTAAAATAATATAAGATACAGTCAACATATGGCAGATGAAATAATATAATTCAGTTTAGTAACTTTCAACAATACAAAAAATATTTTTACTTATTAAAAAAATGATTTAGAATTTTGTTTCATGTGTAAAAAATTCATTTGTTTGGCATTGGATATGGAATATTTAGCTAATTGATCTTAGATTGAATAGTGCACATATTAACTATATTTTACAAATTAATTCACTTAAGATTTGAACTTAAGCAATAATATTTATTAAATTATTAGTAAGAAAAATGTACTTTAGAAATTGTAATTGCCAAAAAGTAACTAATATATCGTACGAAATTATGAAAATTATAGACTAAATTATTAAAGCAAATATGTTGTGTGATAAACTCAAATGAGATATTATTCTTTTACCGCAAATACTGTATTATTTTTTATACTACTTATGCTAATGTAAGACCATAAATGAGTCACAAAGGCAGGACATCAAGTAAGATATTAAAAAGTATAGGATAAAATATTAAAAAATTTGGAACTTTTGAATTGTAGACATGGGTACAGGACAATGCCTGTCGGGTCATCTAGTTATATTTAGAAAAATCAAGAATTATTTTTATATTAGTAATGGAAACTGCAATAAAACTAAATACTGTTACAGCATTCTTCATATATAAATATTCAAACTTTTTATTTAAAAATAATTGTGAATAAAAAAGTTAATATTTTTAAACATTAAATTAAAGTACTTCATATTCTTAATATAAATTAAACCATGAATAAATTGTTGAGGTTATGTTTAATGAGTTTTTTTTTTAAATTGTTTTATTTGAAGATAGTAAAAATTATTGAAATAATATAATTAATAATCAAGAGTTAAATTGTAATAAATGAATAAATAAATCTGTATAAAGATAAAATAAAACCATGAAAGGTGGTGTTCACTTGATGCAAATGCACTATTTAAAAGAAAATCATTCCTAATATGTGAAATACGTAATACATCGTACAACAGGAAGTTCTATATAAAAGTTAATATCAATATTCTGATAAAAAGATACTCAAAATTGCCAAAGCAAGTAAATTATATTACAATCCAATATGTAAAATTGATGAAAAAATGAAATTGATTAAAGAAAACATTAAAATGTCCAAAAAATACGTTGGGATGACCCATTAATACATATTGCACATGAAACAATTCATTGTTAGGTGAATAAATTATTAAAAGCCGTCTATGATTGACACTTAACAATAAAAATTGTTATAGCAAAAATACAGCAGCAAAGAAGAAACGAGATAAAAATGTTACATTCAGAGAAAATAATTTAATAAAGAGTAAATGTATGTATGAGATTTTATATTTGTACAACATACAAATGTATATGAAACCATGATTTGAATAAATTCATTCAAATGAAAGCAGCAAATTTTAATTGATGCTTGGAAATGAATGTAAAAATCTACAAAGAACCACAAAGCTGTTCTTAATTTATGTGCACTTGTTAAATAAAATACTAAAAGTTATATATCAAAAACTCATTATTACATCAATCGGCATAAAATAGAAGTGGTTAGTATAGATAAAAGTTAGTATAGATATTTTGATTTGACGTCTCGGCTCAATATATATTGTAAATTGAGATTAATATAAAAGCAAGAATAAAGACCAAATTTTTAGTATAATTTGATGTACCAGATAATTGTTCATATAATCCATTCATTTACTAAGATATTCTGTGTATTTTTAAATTTTGATAGAAACGTAAACTGCTATATAATGATATAAATTTTTTTCATTATTAGCATAAATATGAAAAAGATTCTAATTATAAAAAAAATCTCTAAAAGTATGAGTCAAGAACAACAATATAATAATGAGCAATTACACAAATTTCAATCAATTCTCAAAATTAAATAAATAAACCTTGACAATTTGTATAAAATTGTTTACTAAAATGTTTTTTCATTTGCAAATATAATTATAATAAGCAATGGGACCTACATTGCAAAGATTTGCCTCATATTTTTTTCAATTTATATTTATTAATCTATATTCATTGATTTCTTTTTATTATTAGCAAGAATATGAAAAAGATTTCAATTATAAAAAAAAAAATATGAGCAAGGAACAACAATGTAATAATGAGGAATTACATGTTGAAAATTGAAGCTTAAGTTAAAGAAAATAATGTGCAAAAATCACTGGTTGATTGAAGAGATTCTAATAAAACTGAATCTTTCAATTTTCACAGTCAAAAATCTAAATTCCTTTAAATAAAGGCCGTCTGTATTCAAATTAATGCTTTCAAAGTATATACACTTGAAATAAAATACCATTTGTAAAAAATGGTCCAAATCAGAAAGATCTGCATAAAAGTTAACACGGTACTAATTCTGATCATTAATATACAAAGCCAAAGTAATTTGAGTAAAAATATGTAAGTAATTCTTTCAAATAAAAGCAGCAAAATCCAATCAACGCTCATAAATGAATGAATGAAAAATCTACATAGAACTATGAAGCTGTTCTGAAAATGTAATATATCGAAAACACATTACATCATTCGGCATAAACAGAAAGCTTTATGTACTAATAATGAAAACTAGTACAGTATTTAAAATGAGTAATATAAAAACAATTGTATCTGAAAAGTGAATTTGTAGTATAATTTTATTTACCTGATAGCTTGGTCTCTTTGTGCCTTTCGTACTTCGGGTTTCATGTTCCTCTTGGCAAGGATGTCATTAAGAGAAGCTCCTACGATAGCACGTTGGAATTTCTGTGTACGACGAGTACGTTTCTTAGTCAACTCTTCTTCTTGACCTTTCTTGTGCTTGCGTCTTAAAAGTCACAAAAACACATGTTAGTAATTGATAATTAATAGAAGTCAAAGTGATAATATAGATAATGTGATTAAAAGTACCTGTACAAGACAGTCCATGTTACTTTACGTGGGTTCCTCTTCATTAAATGAGCAGCCTCACATTTTGAATTGAGGAAAGTGAATGTCTGCAACATATAGGTTATGTTATAATACATATAAACAAAACTTGATTTTCCAATTCCATCACAAACGTTGCACTAAATTTGCATTACCACAAAATCATATTGTATGTCAATTATTACCTTTCCATCAATTTTGACCATGGTTTTGCCATGGCCGGGATAAATTTTGTATCCACTGTACGCGCACAAGCCGATCCTAAAAATAATTCAATCATCAGACACTTATTTTAACAGATATGTACGTGCAAAAATATATTCTATTATTGATGTACGATTGCTATAATTTTGCACGTAATATTAAAATTGTAAATGACAGATATACGTACTTCATCTTGCTGGCTTTGGAAACGGAAAAGAAATTCTCTTCGAAGTGAACGATATGCTCTCATTGTTCGCCCGTGTTGGCAACACTAGGCAACTTCAGTTTGGTGTGGACAGATTCAATATGGCGGAGTGTGGCGGTAAATTTGAAGTTTGAATTGTGAATTGTAGGAAGATTTTATTTGAATTTGTTAGTTTTTTTTAATAAACCTGTGGTAAATTTTACAATTTGCATAAGAAGTACTGAAAATTCATGTGGATTGTTCAAAAACTTGCAAAAATTTGCTGATATATTAAATTTATAAAATATTATCAATATTTTCGTAATATTTAAGGCAAAAAATTAACTAATTTAAATTTTTAATGAATTGTTAGTATTTTTTTATTTAAATGCTGATATATGTTAAATACTATGAAAGTAAAACGTTATGTCATCATTAATCTTGCATTATCTTATATATAAGTCTTCTGTATGATGTATGAAAGGATAAACCTCTTAAACGGTTATTCGTATTTCGATATATCTTTCTGAAGTTTGTTAAGGGATTTTTTAGGATTTTTTGAATTTTAGAAATATAGTTAATTTAGGAAATTAATGGAAAAAATGACAAAAACCGCTTATCATTGTTTGACATTCAAAATATTTGAGGCACTGTAAAAACAAATGAATACTGTCGTCTGTCGGGTCATCTAGTATATATATATATATATATATATATATATATATTATATATATATTATATATATATATATATATATATATATCTTATATAAAATTCTTCTGTAATAATGTATGAAAGGATAATCCTCCTAAACGGTTATTCGTATTTCGATAAATCTTTCTGAAGTTTGTTAAGGGAATTTATTAAGAATTTTTGAATTATAGAAATATAGTTAGATTGTAGAAATGAATGGAAAAAATACAAAAAATCGCTTATCATTGTTTGACATTGATAATATTTGATGCATTGCTTCACATTAAAAATGAATGAAGACTGTCGTCTGTCGGATTATCTAGTATATATATATATATATATATATATATATCTTATATATAAAATTCTTCTGTAATGATGTATGAAAAGATAATCTTACTAAACGATTATTCAGATTTTGATAAATCTTTCTGAAGTTTGTTAAAGGAATTTTTAAGGATTTTTTGAATTATAGAAGTATAGTTAGTTTGTAGAAATTAACGAAAAAAATTACAAAAAACTGCTTATCATTGTTTGACATTGATAATATTTGAGCCATTGTTTAACATTAAAAACAAATAAAGACTGTTGTCTGTCGGGTCATCTAGTATATGTATATATATATATATATATATATATCTTATACATATATATCTTATACATAAAATTCTTCTGTGATGATGTAAGTAACGTAACCGATTATTCGGGTTTTGATAAATCTTTCTGAAGTTTGTTAAGGGATTTTTTTAGGATTTTTTGAATTATACAAATATAGTTAGATTTTAGAAATTAATAGAGAAATTACAAAAAAACTGCTTATTATTGTTTGACATTGAAAATACTTGAAGCATTATTTGACATTAAAAACAAGTGAAGACTGTCATCTGCCAAACACTTCAATTCACTTATCTTATAGGTTAAGACAATATTAAAATAAAATATATATTCATGATTATGAATAAGAAAAATTAAATGTCTACATTATTATTGCCGAAAAGCAGCTGAGATGTTCCAAAAATTAAAATAATATAAGATGCAGTATATGGTTTGGCAGATGAATAGTCTGCGCATGCTTCTAACGATTGTGGACTGTAAGTGTTTGCGCATCAAACATATTCAATTTGACAGATTATTATTTTTTAACTAATGCAGTCGTGTTTTGCCTTACTTTAGTAAATCAGAATACAAAAAAAATTACTTATTCAAAAAATTATCTAGAAGTTTCATTTTGTCAAAAATTCATATGTTTGGCATTGGGTACGGAATAATTACTCAAGTCAATTGAGCGTTTTTTATGAAATTTCAGAATCAGGTAAGATTAAACAAAAAATCATTTATTTATACATCTACATCTATAGATATATATCTAGTCATATGACAAAAATTGTGGATAAGCCTTAGCATTAAAATAAATTGAACTATTGGAAATAAATTTGTTCAATCAATTGTAGTGTGTATTCTTAATATACTATTTTATTGAACATATTTTAATATTTGTTTGTTTGATTAAAATTTCACAGTATATTTAAAGGGTTAAGTGTGGGTTCTGAGACTCATCATTTTATTTAAAGCGGTTGTACATATAAGATCACCCATATGAATGTATATACATTTCGGTATAGACTGTAGTGTGAAAAACCTAATAATTTTCAACTAATTGGTAAATATCAGTACAGGTTATTAAAAAAATTGGAACTTTTGAATTGTAGACATGGGTACAGGACAACGTCTAACGAGTCATCTAGTATTTTATAAAATTGAATACAATTTTGTTGCTTACAGATGCAAACTCTATATTTATTTCTAAATTTATTACTTTATATATATCATAAAATGTTATAAATCAAGAACAATTAAAACCGAGATGTTATTTCCAGAATTTGGTGGAATTTTATATCAAATTCCTAATATTTTCACAAATCTTTCCTCCTGGGCCTGTACCCTTCTCTCGAGGTGACTTTCCTGGCCCTGGTGGATACGTTGTCCCACATTTGGGTATATTTTTGAGTATCGGCAAAAGTAAAATCTAAATCTTCGTCCATTCGAATAGAATATGGAACTTCGTTTATTGAAGTCGACAAGGGTTTTCTGGAACCTGGGAAAAAATAAATGATTATAAATATAATTATAAATAAAGTGAAGGTGGCATTTTGCTTCATATATAGTATTTTTTTATACTTTCTATAAGTTTATTTTCATAGGCTTTCATACAAAATTTGTGAGTTGTTTGACAAAAACCAAAAAAATGTACCGAATTTTCTGGTTGTTGCTAAATAATGAAATATCGAATTCAAAGTCGTTTTATTCAAAACTTTTATATCGAAATATTTAAAAGTGTTTATACGGATTTGTAGTAAATTTTATCTAGATTTACCCTATCAAAAGAGTGTTTTCATATAAAAGTTGTGAGTTATTTGACAAAAACCAAAAAAATGTCCCGAATTTTCTATTTATTGCTGAAGAATGAAAAATCGAATTCAAAGTCGTTTTATTCTGATCTTTTATATCGGACTGTATATAATTGTTTATATGGATTTGTAGTAAATTTTATCTAGTTTCACTTAAAAAGGGTGCTTTTATATAAAATTTGTGAGTTATTTGGCAAAAACCAAAAAAATGTCCCGAACTTTCTATTTGTTGCTAAATATTGAAATATCGAATTCAAAGTCGTTTCATTCAAAATATTTCTATCAAAGTGTATATAACTTTTAATATAATTATAAATTAGGTGTAACTGGCATTTTGCTTCGAAGCATATCGAATATTTTGATCGACTTAAGGGGGTATTTTAACTATCTAAGAATATGGGTACGAGAAGGTTTTTGAAAATCTGAAATATTTTCGGAGATAAAGGCATTTTACTGACTCGGTCTCCATACTGGTTTGACTTCACGCAAAACTTTAAATGCGTTTTTCTCAGAACAGACTTTTTCAGTACTCGAGTTTTAATCGACCGATTCACTTGAAATGTTTAGAGAGTCTTGTTTGTAGATCTATCTATAGCCCGAACTAGGATTATCCCCAAATTCCAATTTTTACTATCTTTAAAAAATTCGAGAAACAAACAGTCGCCAATTTGTAAAAAATTTTTTTTTTAGTCATCGCTAGTTCGGGCGATTGCGACATCATTGTAGATTAATAATGTTTTTATTTTTTGCATTTCCGATTGCTAAGAGGGCTGAAATCATGTCAAGACTAAGGTGACAATTTTTTGAGACCACCCACTTCATCAGCTGCCAGTTTTTACAATTTTCAACTTTGTTATTTTTTAATTTTTGTTTTATATTTTAATAATATTAATAAATAAGTGGTAAAAAATGGATAGTAAAAACATTCACTGCTTTCTTTTACAACACTTTGAAAATGAACTAAAATTTATCACACTACACTAGAATATCCCTTAAATCGATTTGAATTGAGAGAATTATAATTATATATCGTATTTTTCTTACTTTCTATAAGTTTATTTCTATAAGCATGTTTTTCATTTCTCCATTTGCGACCAGCAACAAACTCCTTGAAAACTGCATCAGAACTTGGAATATATCTGTCTAAAAAATGCATTATTCTGCCCCAACATTGGGAATGGTGCTGGGCCAACCAGTATCTATAAAAATTAAACAAATATATTTTAATAAATAAAATATTATATTTTAAGAAACAATTAATTTTCTCGATTAAATATATTTTTTAAAATATTATATATATATATATATATATATATATATATATATAATATATACATAAGGGTGGTGCTTAATATGGACATTTTTGAATTTCCTTGCTCCCAAGGGCTCAAATAGTTCCAAATTGATAAAAAACAATTTGCTGAAAGTTTTAGCTCTTAATATTAACTTTTAGATAGTGCGCAATTCAATCAAACTTTGTATGGAAATAGAATGAAAAAAATTTTGCAAATTAAAAAAAAAAAAAATTAGGTATAACTTAGCAAACAAATGATTGAGTTTTATTCAAAATTTGTCGCTAAGTTATACCTAAATAAATCTTTTTTAATTTGCAAAATTTTTTTCATGCTATTTCCATACGCAGTTTGATTAAATTGCGCACTATCTAAAAGTTAATATTAAGAGCTAAAGAGAATTGGTTTATATCAATTTGGAACCATTTGAGACCTTGGGAGCAAAGAATTTCGAAAATGTCCATTTTAAGGACCACTCTAATATACATATTTCATTTACCTTGGTATTAGTAAAACGACCACTGGATCTTTTGAGACTACGGCCCTGTTTTTCATATATTCTCCTAATGCAAAAACGGAGCCCCTGCTCATAACTGCTAATTGCATGAATACGGTCCTGATGTCTTTTTCAGGTGGTTCTTGATATTCTGCAAAAAATGAAAACCAAATTTATTCTAATGCAAATAAAATTCATAGTAGATTATATAGATATATTTATTAATTTATTACCTAAATCAGCACTCCCATAATTATAAGTAATTTCTTCCACATTTATTTCTTTCTCATCTGCAATCTCGGCTTGTTCATCACGTTCTAGAAAAAATATTCGAAACATTTACTAAATAATATATATATATATCAATATTTTTTAATATTTCTTACTGAATTCCTCAATTTCTAAAAACATGCTCCTTCTGTTTCGGACCTGAAAAGCCCTTCTAAAGCCATCATCCATTTCACCAGTTTGCAAAAAGTTCGTACAACCGCATATAATTCTCTGAGTTCTAAAAAAATATACTTATAAAAAAATATAAATTTAAGTTATTAAAAATACAAACTGTAATATATTAGGTTGTCAAATATCTCCCTTCCGCTTTTTTGCTCTTGGTTTATAATACAAAAAGGCGGAAGGGAGATATTTGACAACCTATTATGTTAAATACTATGGAAGTAAAATATTATGTCATCATTATTCTTGCATTATCTTATATATAAACTTCTTCTGTAATGTAATGTATGAAAGGATAATCCTCTTAAACGATTATTCCGATTTTGATCAATCTTTCTGAAGTTTGTTTAGGAAATTTTTTAGGATTTTTTGAATTATAGAAATACAGTTAGATTGTAGAAATAAATGGAAAAAATATACTTATTAGAAAAATATAATTTTTAGTTAATAATAAAATGACGAACTTAAAATGTCTGGCAAGTTGTTCTCCTATTGATAATCTTTTTTGGGGTTCGAATTCTTCTTGCATTTCTTGGGCATGTTTAATTTCTTCCTCAGTCGGTTCATAACGTTTGTAAAACTCTTTTTTGCCAACTTTTGTCACCTAAAAAACAGTTTTTAAGTTAGATAGGGTGAAACTAGATAAAATTTACTACAAATACATGAAAACAGTTATATACACTCCGATATGAAAGTTTTAAATAAAACGCCTTTGAATTTGACTTTTCATTTCTTTAGCTATAAATAGAAATTTTGGGACATTTTTTTTATTTTTTTTTTGGTTTTTGTCAAATAACTCACAAATTTTATATGTGAGTAAAGAAAAAATTGTAGAATTTTTCTCACCTCGACTTGTAGTCTTTCAATTAATCTGCATGTTCCACTCAAAAGAAAATAAACAACGTGTTTGGTGCCTTTTCCATCACCATAAATTGTCTTCATGGGTTCATAACTTCTGATTTTTGCTAAAATGCAACATTCACGCAAAGATACTTCATCTAAGTCCCTTGAAAAAAATACCAGAAGTCAATTATAACTTACAAAATATTTAAAACTTAAATTATATATATATATATATATATATATATATATATATATATATAACTTACTTAAAATATGTGAAGCAACTTATGGCCCTTTGTATTTGATCCCATTTTGTGGCTAACATCTCGTTTAATATCGAATCAAAGTCCTTTTTATGTATAGATAATAGTTCACAATTTTCTAAAAAAAATATCAACTCAATAAGAATGTTTAAATTTGAAAAATAACATACTAAAACACACATAGTCCCTTTTATGGCAATAATTTTCTTTGCACAATATTCATTACTGGTGTAATTATTAATAGAAAATAATAATTATAATGAATTTTATAAACACACATTAATTGTAACAATATATTAGGATTTATTTTTAATATAAAAATTAATCAAATAAATAAAATGAATAATATAACAAACTTGTCACATTTTCTTTAATGTATGAACCATTTGTTTGATCAATATTTGGTGGGTCTGCTGAATATATGATAAAAAATGCATCTCAAAATTTTAATGCCTTGTGCATTGATTTAGTAATCATTTAAATATATTCTTAATTCTTATTTAAATATAATCTTTTTGCTGATTTGAATTTGTTAACTTATTAGTAATAGTTATTTGTTTTTTAAATTAGTAATAAACAATACATTTAGTAACTATTCTGAGAATCTGAGATTTTGAGAATGTGAAACCTAATTATTGGACTACCAAGTTGAAGGATTTCTATTTTCATGGAAATTTAAAGAAATAAAAATGATTTATAATATATATATATATATATATATATATATATATATATATATTTATAATATGTAATAGTTTATAATATATTTTTTTAATTTTCACCCAAGGCAACACATGTCTGCATTCTGGGCACACTATACAACATTGCAAATTCTCCAATCAAATCGCCACTTTTAGAAGTTCCAAAATCTTCAGCAAAATAAGCCTCGTCAAAGTAATCCCATTTTTTCTGCGTCAACTTAATAGATCCTATAATAATTATAAAATATTAAAAATATTTTAAATATAAAATAAAACAGTATAAATAGCATAGGTCTTTTAATTTCAATAATATTAGATATCCTCATCCTTATTCTAAAAGACTTATATCTTTGAAATTAATTCAATATATATTTGATCTAATACTTATCAATTTGTCTACTTCAAACTCTACTATTTTATCTTAATATAATAAATTAGTTTATAAAATTATTATATTATTTTTATTTAATTTTTTTACCTTGTAAAATAAAATACAGAGATTGGGGCATATCATTTTCTTTCACCAAAACTTTTCCTTTGGGCAAATACATGTAATAGGCAGAACTTGCCAAACTTCTGCTGACTTTCTAAAAATTATTAACTACAATTATTTTTCATAAATAAATGAACAATATAAAATGTTATATACATAATATTTTTTGTTATATAAATATTTTTTGTTATATGAATAAATGTTTTTGCTAAAATCACATTTTTGTGTATGCAAAGTATGGTAATAATTAAGTATAAATATTATATACAAGGTGTCCCAGAATTCAACGTCAAGCGGAAACGCGGTAACAGTATTTCTCAGCTAATAAATAGAATTAATATTTTATTTTTCGTTCGTTTTTTTCTGATATCAAGACGACTGAATTTGATTTTTCATTATTTAGCAACAAATTGAAAATTTGGGCCATTTTTTTGGTTTTTGTCAAATTATTAAGAAATTTTATATGAATGCACTCTTTTTCACTTGTCCACATTCTCTCTAATAAATAAATATTTTCAATGTTAAATTGAGCGAATAAGATCTAGAAACAAAATAATTCAAATATTTTTCTGTTTTTTAGCTGATTTTTTAACACTTCAATGGCAAAGTAGCTATAAGTAAGAAGCTTGAAGTGTTAAAAAATCTGCAAAAAAACAGAAAAATATTTGAATTATTTTATTTCTAGATCTTATTTGCTTAATTTAACATTGAAAATATTTATTTATTAGAGAAAATGTGGTCAAGTTCAAAGTGCTGTCATATATGGAGAGATTTGATACTGCGGCGAGAGCAGCAAAGACTTTGAGGCGGCCGTACGCTCAAACTATCAATTCTACAAAAAAAACGGTTTTCTAAAGAATTGTAGGAAATTTTATCTAGTTTAATTCGTGCATAGACACTTATATCGTAGAATGAGCCAGAAAGGCGATATTTTAAAAAAGCTGTTTTTTGACTCCATTTTTCTAATATGGCGGCAAATTGCCGTTCAAATTTGAGGTGGCGAAGTTGATTTTCGTAAAGAGCACCTCGAAATCTATAAGATTACCATTTTTCAGAATTCCCGGAGTACTGTACCGGCAACAGCCTTTTTTTGCACCAAATGACTGGACTAAAAACTTGAGGCAAATGTGTTATTATTTTTAACTATGGTTTTAGATATATTATTTACGGTTACGGTATCAAGGTTTAAATGAACAAAAGTAATTAAAATTAACCACAATGACCTCAAAATGATCACAATTATATCAAATAAATAAGGGCCCTTAAAAGCTCATAATTTTCAAACAAAGTGAGCTAATTTTTTTCAGAACGGTCGGTCAATACTATTACGTCTTGACTTTGATTTCTGGGACACCCACCCTATATATATATATATATATATATATATATATATCTATCTATATATATATATGTGGTAAATTTTCTATTTATTTATTTTATATTATTATGTCACCTTAGGATAACGTCTAAAACATTTTAAATTTCCCAAAATTCTGATCAACTTCTGTTTTTCTTCATCTGTCCTTTTATTGCTTGGTTTACGCATCGTTCTTTTTTCCTAGGATAAACAGAATTATTATTATTAGAAATATAAAATACTGTCCTTGAATACAAAGGATTAGTCTTAAAATCAAATCATACAAGAAAAGAGCGAGTGTCACAACCGTCCCCTGAGGGTAAAACACGACATAATCATTTAAACAATCCCAAAGATTGTGAATATATTATAACAATTAAGAAATAAGCTGAACTATGCGATCACTTACTTTCTTATAATTAACTTCCCGTAGGGCAAGTTATAGTAATCGCAAAAAAATCGAAAATGAGAATATTCATATATCTTTACGTTTGAGAGGTTTCTGAACATTTTGGCATACCTTAGAAAAAATGGATGTATGTGTGTGTGTGTATGTATGTATGTATGTATGTATGTATGTATGTATGTATGTATGTGTGTGTATGTACGTGCGGATACAAATTTTCGTCGACGATTTCGGGAACACGGATCAACCGATTTGAATAATTCAAAAAACATTCGATTTGTATTGATAAGGAGACATGCTGATTAGTTTTTGGCGAAGGCAGGTCTAGCCGTTCCGAAGATACGGGGCAAAAAGTGACGAAAACGATAACTCAGTTTTTAAGAGAACGGAGCGTCCGATTTGAATAACTCAGAAAACATTTCACTTGTATTGACAGGATGAAGAATCGATAAAATTTTCATGAAAGTAGGTCTAGCGGTTTCGGAGATATGGAGGAAAAAGTAAAAAAATAAGCCATTTGGCGGTCAAAAATGATCTTTAGACATATGCACATCAAATTATCAGATATTTTATAGAGATTTTAACAACAAGTGTACATTTTGTTAACATTCCTATGGGTTCCGTACCAATGCTTATGCGTTAGAGAACGACGCGGCGCTTACGCGCTTTATATTTTGTCCCTATGCAGTTAAAGCAGTACGATTGTTTTGAAAAAAAAAAGTTCAGATCTTCCACAATATGTCAAAATAAAGAAAAAAAAATTTTTTTTTCAAAAAAAAAAATAAAAATAAAAAATTTTTTTTTTAATTTTTTTTTTTCAAAAAAAAAGTAATTTTTTGTACAATTTATAGTTTCTCAAAAATCTTATTTTTTCAAAGTAAATTTTTTTCAAAAATGTTAATCGTTTTTAAAAAAATAATAATTTTTGGTACGGGAAGTTCCAGCAATTTGCCTTAAGGCACGATGCCTTAATTGCCTTAAGACAGAATTCCACTTACAGCTAGTTAATTATGTCATCATCACGACTAAGGTTATGATTTTAATTTTTGGTCGAAAATGTTAACTAATAATTATATGTTATATGATATCTAGTCAAAATCATTATTACAATGGTGACAAATGTAATAAAGACGATCACCTGCGCATTTAACGTGAAAGCAGAAACTGCATATTTCTTTGATACTTGATCCATTTTACGCCACCCCTACTTTCATAATATGAACATCCATAAAACCAGACAGAAATTTTCTCTCCTTATATTGCATTTTCCTGTTTCTTTTTCTTTTGTATGTTTTCTTAGTTAAGTTAGATTCTTCTTAATAAGAACAAGAAATACATGTCACAATCGTACCCACAAAATTTGTCACAATCGCACCCAGCTCAATCTTTTGAAAACAAATAATTGTTATGACTAAATTATTTAAGCAAAAACTAATTGTTGGCAAGTAACTACTGATGTTAAACTTACATTATAATAACAAATAAAATGATCTATGTGTATACAAAAAAGAAATAGCAAAATAAAACTTATTTTTAACTCTCTGAAAGCAATGCGGTGTGCCGATAATATTAATGTAGAGCTCAGACTCAAGGCAATAATGAAAACTTGTTCAAACAAACATACTTAATTATTCTCCCTTTAGTCCCTATAGGGGAGCTATAGCTCAAAATTAGTATAGTTAAGCTCCTTTAACGACCCTTCTTATTTAGAATTTATCTAGATCTATTATCCATCCAAAGAAATAGGAAGAAAAATGCAGACGATTGACGACTTACGCGAAAAGATAAAATGCAGGGAACTGAAAGCCAAAGCACATGATCAAGAAGTATGGAAACAAAAGTTTGAAAAGGAAAATACATGAAATAAAAAAATAGGAATAGTGGTAATGGAATGAAGGGCAAGGAAATCATTTGTTGTGGTGGCTCTCACACCATGGACCTGCCTTCGGACAGACTACCATTTATTATTATTATTATTATAACATTCATCCAATGATTAGACCGGGTGTGATGGTATCAATTTATCTTAAGTTCTGGAATGCGTTTAGTTTATTAGGTTGATGTATATATCTATTATTAATCTTCTACAGTTACCTCCAAGCTAAGAAGACTCTGATCCGCAGCCAAGGTCTTCTTCCTAAGGAGCACGGCGACGTTTCGGCGCACGTTGCCGCCCATCTCGACTTCGTCTTCGCGGGCGCACAGCCAGTCAGCGTTGACGAGGGCCTGCCGAACGAGAGCCTTCATTCGGATCCGGGCCTGGAGTTCTAAGGCTCTCAATTCCTCTGGGGTCTGGGTAATAAATAAAGGTAAGATGAACATTTTAACTGAAAATTTTCGAAAAAATCCGATTTGCACGGCTTATGGAATTATGTTGCCAGTGTTGTAGATTGTTATTATTGACGCAATTTAACATTCTGCAACAACCAGAACTCGATATATCAATTGCTTTTCGAAATATTTAAATGAGCAATTGAATCTTGCTTTTATCTGCAAATTTAAGGATTTTTCTTTATGTCCAAAACAGCTTATGGAATTATGTTGCCAGTATTGCAGATTCTCAATATTGACACAATTTAACATTTTGCAACAACCTGAACTCAATATATCAATTGCTTTTCGAAATATTCAAGTGAGCAATTGAATCTTGCTTTTAACTGCAAAGTTATGGATTTTTCTTTATGTCAAAAACGACTTATGGAATTATGTTGCCAGTGTTGCAAGACTATTAATATTGACACAATTTAACATTTTGCAACAATCTGAACTCGATATGTCCATTGCTTTTCGAAACATTTAAGTGAGCAATTGAATCTTGCTTTTAACTGCAAAGTTATGGATTTTTCTTTATGTCAAAAACGACTTATGGAATTATGTTGCCAGTGTTGCAAGACTATTAATATTGACACAATTTAACATTTTGCAACAATCTGAACTCGATATGTCCATTGCTTTTCGAAACATTTAAGTGAGCAATTGAATCTTGCTTTTAACTGCAAAGTTATGGATTTTTCTTTATGTCAAAAACGACTTATGGAATTATGTTGCCAGTGTTGCAAGACTATTAATATTGACACAATTTAACATTTTGCAACAATCTGAACTCGATATGTCCATTGCTTTTCGAAATATTTAAGTGAGCAATTGAATCTTGCTTTTATCTGCAAATTTAAGGGTATATCTTTATCTCAAAAACGGCTAATGGAATTATGTTGCCAGTGTTGCAGATTATTAATATTGGCGCAATTTAACATTCTGCAACAACCTGAACTCGATATGTCAATTGCTTTTCGAAATATTCAAGTGAGCAATTGAATCTTGCTTTCATCTGCTAAATTAATGATATATCTTTATCTCAAAAACCGCTTATGGAATTATGTTGCCAGTGTTGCAAATTATTAATATTGACGCAATTTGACATTCTGCAATAACCTAAACTTAATATGTCAATTGATTTTTTAAATATTCAAGTGAGCAATTGAATCTTGCTTTCATCTGCAAATTTAAGGAAGTTTCTTTATGTCAAAAACGGCTTATGGAATTATGTTGCCAGTGTTGCAGATTCTTAATATTGACGCAATTTGACATTCTGCAACAATCTGAACTCGATATGTCAATTGCTTTTCGAAACATTTAAGTGAGCAATTGAATCTTGCTTTTATCAGCAAATTTAAGGATTTTTCTTTATGTCAAAAACGGCTTATGGAATTATGTTGCCAGTGTTGCAGATTATTAATATTGACGCAATTTAACATTTTGCAACAACCTGAACTCGATATGTTAATTGCTTTTCGAAACATTTAAGTGAGCAATTGAACCTTGCTTTTATCTGCTAATTTAAGGATTTTTCTTTATGTCAAAAACGGCTTATGGAATTATGTTGCCAGTGTTGCAGATTATTAATATTGACGCAATTTAACATTTTGCAACAACCTGAACTCGATATGTCAATTGATTTTCGAAACATTTAAGTGATCTTGTTTTTATCTGCAAATTTAAGGGTATATCTCTATCTCAAAAACGGCTTATGGAATTATGTTGCCAGTGTTGCAGATTATTAATAGTGACGCAATGTAACATTCTGCAACAACCTGAACTTGCCATGTCAATTGCTTTTCGAATTATTTAAGTGAGCAATTGAATCTTGCTTTTATCTGCAAATTTAAGGTTATATCTCTATCTCAAAAAACGGCTTATGGAATTATGTTGCCAGTGTTGCAGATTCTTAATATCGACGTAATTTAACATTCTGCAAGAACCTGAACTCGATATGTCAATTGCTTTTCGAAACATTTAGGTGAGCAATTGAATCTTGCTTTTATCTACAAATTTAAGGATTTTTCTTTATCTCAAAAACGGCTTATGGTATAAAATGATTTAAACTTATTATTTAAAACTTATAATTTAGGAGATCCATCAAGTATTTTTTGCTAAAATTTTTGTACACCAGATATTTTTTATATAAATTCAAGGAAAACCTATTTCAAGCAATATAAGCATCATTAACCCTTTAGTTTTCTTGACATAAATTTAAAAGTGAATAAGTATATTAAATATAGAATATTCAAATGAATATTTAACAAAAAAATATTCATATAAACAAAATTCAATTTTCATGTTTTTGAATAAAATTATTTCACTATCAGTTTCATACAAGTTTTACAAATCCTTACCAAAGCAATTTTCCTCTCTTTAAGTTTGCCCATTTTAGAATTTTGATAAATCTAATTTATATAATAAATTTATCATTCAAATTTATAAAAAATAAAACAATCACATTTTTTGTTTTTGAATTTTTGAATTATGGTTAGCTTCAATTTTATTCGATTTAGAAAAATATTCTATGTGTACGTATAGTACATATTAAAACTACAAAAAATTGCTTTATTAGAATAATAATTTAATAAATAAAACAATTTTATAGCATATATTTTTTTTATTATTTTATTATATTTTAAAGAAATTTTTATTTAATATCTTGTCCTTGTTCGAAGTTGTTCATTAATCCAGTGTATGTCTTCATAGAATCTGGGGTCACTCATTCTGAGGGCAGTTCTTTTGTACAAATAGTAATAAATCGGCGCCACTGGAATATATATGGATATATAAAAAATGTACTAATAATGTCCAAACATCAAATTAGGGAAATACAAAATAATATTAAATATTTTTATAATATTAAAACATAAATATTGTATCAAAAGACTTTGGAGTGTTATATTTATTAACTTTCCGAAGGCGAAGTTTGTTTTCATGAAAAAATCCGATTCGCTAATTTTATGTTTTCTCGACGTTTCAAGCTATTCTGAATCGAATGGGACCAACATTTGGAAAAAGTATGTGTGTGCGTGTGTGTGTATGTAACAGATTTTTGACCTTAAATCAAAGTTTTCCCAAAAAACGACTGAACCGATTTTAAAAATTTAAAAGCCATTCGATGTATCTCGATGAGGACTATCGTTTGTCAGTTTCGTGCGACGATCGGCCGAGCCGTTTCTTTGTAAAAAGCACAAAAGTGAGAAATTTTAGTCCACGTTTTAGCTCGCAATTCAGAACAGATTTTAAAAATTCAAAAACCTTTCGAAAGGTGATTGGAATTTGATTGGTTTTCTTCACTTAATTTAAAAAAAATATAACTTTTTTAATTTATTTGTAACTTTGTTGATGTATTATTGTTTATATTCTGCCTAGCTTTTTATATTATTAGTATTATTATATATTTTTAACTAGTATATTTCTATTATACTTACGAATTCTATGAATCATATAGAATGCAAGAAAAGCCTTAGTCCACATATAGGTTTTTGGATTTTTCCAATGGTACATCAGGATCCAGATGTGAATAATAACACTCAGTATCAGGTACAACATATTAACCAGAATTGTCAATCGGAAACGATCATATAATAGATCTATTAGACCAGCCTTGAAAAAAGACAAAAAAATGAAATAGATAATATATATAAGGTAAATGGGGCTTAAAGGTTCGCGGTTATCATCAAAAACAAGTATAAGTACAAAGTTAAGAAATTTTTATCCTAACAATATTTGAAAGTAGAGGACAAAAATTTACAGCCAGCCATCACCTTGATTTTTACGACTTTACCTATTAGAAAATAAACTGCATTGTTTGAAAATCCATAACAAAAGTATTTTATCACGTTGTTAGTTTTTTTGGTCGTGAGCACTGCTGTTTAGTTTACGAGACCTTAATATAATTTTTAGGTGCACCTTATTTAATTATTTTATAACACGTATTGTTAATTTTAAGTTAGATTCAACAGTATTTTTTATATAACCTCTATAAAAGCTGGGGTAAAAAAAAACAACTAAACCTTCACCCTGGCAAAGGCGTAAGCAATAAAAAATAGTAAATAAAAAAGTGAATTTAGGTAAAAAAATTGATTTTAAAAGGGATAAAATCAATAAATAGTTATGCAAACTATGCTGATTAATGTTTCTGACGAAATACCAGATCAAGGTTGTGTACAGTGTTACCTCTGAAAAAATGTAATGTAGTTATTATTTTGTAAAATCCCTTTAAAATTAAAATTAAGACATTAGATTTAATTGACACCTGGCTTTCCAATTTACCTGGCATATGGGGTAAAGAAGACCAGGTGACAAATTTTTGAAAAACAACAAAAAAACACTTTTCTACAATGATGAATTAGCTGAGGGTTTTACTGAACATAGTCAGGTGGTTGTTTATTTGATATGTGTTATTTGTTGTGATACAATTGATTTGGTTTTTACTAATATATATACATATATATATATATATATATATATATATATATATATATATATTTCATTCTTACTTGGAAAATATATGTTGCAAAAAACGTAAACAAAAGTGCAGCAAAAGCCAGGACAATACAAGCATCTTGAACTCTGCAAAAAAACTAATTTAGTATATATATATATACGTATATATATATTTTATATTAATATTTTTACTATCTTACAAATATAGAATCAGAAGAGTCGAAGAATCTACTTGAGAGAAAAAAACAAAATTGTTTATAATTATATCGACTATAATAAATACAAACTGAAAAAATAATATGAAGGCGAATCTTTGCAATGTCAGTACCATTGCTTATTATAAAAATTATATTTGCAAACGTAGAAAACATTTTGGTAAAATATTTTATATGAATTGTCAAAGTTTATTTATTTAATTAATTTTATTGTTGTCATGGTAACGGAGGAATTGATATATGTTTATGGATAATTATTTATATTTTTATACTAAAAAATATGAGAGTAATGTATTATAGACCCTAGACAATATACTAATATAGACTCTTTAAAAACTCTAGTTTGAATAATTAAAATATATGTTTAATTAATAGTTAAATTTATTTAGTTAATTAAATCATTGATAATTTATATTATTTGGGAGTCATGCTACATTAATTTTGGATAAAAATTGGTCGAGCCTAAATAATTTTAGAAAATTAATTTTTAATGAAACTTTTTATGTTTCATAAAATCCATAACATAGTCCTAAAAAACATACTAAAATTTTACGGCCTTACGGCAAGTAGCTTCATTTTGAAAATTCATCAAAGTTTGAAAAAATATTTATTTGATTTTAAAAGTGTATACATGTTTTTGTTTTCTGACAACAGTAATTTTTTACAAAATTTATTTTTGTATAAAAATATTCTATATTTATTTTTAAAAATTTGTACGAGAAATATATCACGTATATATAGGAATTTTGTTATTTATAAAGTATTTGTAAAAATTTGGAATGCCTAACAAAAAAGCGGAAAATTTGGTATTGAATTTAATATACATAAATAGTAAGAACATGATAGTAAAAAATAATTTTTTTGGCATTTAAATAATATAAATACTAAATGTTGATATATTGATTTATTGCAATGTTTCTAAATTTTGTAATTAATTATATTATGATCAGATATATGTATAAAAAATTAAAATAACGAATTAAAGGATCTTATTTTGAAATAGCACAACTATTATATATTTTTATAATATACATTTTTTTTTAATTACAATATTTATTACAACTGTATAATGTACAAAATAGAAAAAAACAATTGCATTATATATTTTATTTTGCATTAAATATTATAAAATTAAATACAGTAAAACCTCGAAAAGACAATTATGCTTAATATGATTATTTGAAAGTTTTTGTTTCAATCCCGCATATAACGCTTTCTCGCCTGAAGCGCGTTTTTGGTACAAAAAATCCTTACACTATATTTTGTAATTTTTCTATAGGCAAAGAAAAAAATTCAACAAAATTCAGACACAAAATTTTTAGACTATTAAGCTTAATACGATGCTTTAAAACACTTTGTTTCAATCTCGCATAAAACACTTTCTCGCTTAAAAAGCGTTCTTGGTATTAGAAAATCTTCTTAACAAAGTTGCACTATATTTCAGTATTTTTAATATAGGCACAAAATATTGCTAAAGAATGAAATATCGAATTCAAAGTCGATTTATTCAAAACTTTTACATTAGAGTTTATAAAAGCGTTTCTTAAGAAATGTTTTAAATTTTATCTAGTTTCAAAGTGTTCTCTTCGAAATGTAGTAAATTTTATCTAGTTTCACCCTAGCTGACTGAAAATGGATGGTTTCATATGAAATATCTGAGTTATTTGAAAAAAAAACAAAAAAATGACCCGAATTTTCTATTTATTGCTACTAAAGAATGAAATATCGACACAAAATTTTTAGATGTTTATGCTTAATACGATGCTTTAAAACACTTTGTTTTAATCCCGCATATAACGATTTCTCGCTTAAAAAGCGTTCTTGGTAATAAAAAATATCCATAACAAAGTTGCACTATATTCCAGTATTTTTACTATAGAGAAGGTTGATGTTTTAACAAAACTTTAACTCGTTTTTTTAAAATATATAAAATTAACAATTTTTTTTTCTGATTATATTAATTTTATCTAATGTATATTATTATTATTATGTATATTATTATTAATATATTTTTTTTATTTTTAAGACCCCAGATCAAATAGAAAGAAATCGCGCCTTAGGAAGATTGCGTTTAAGAAGTTTGGCCAGAAGAATTGTTGCCAATGAGGATTGGCTTTATGCACAAACGGTATAAATAATTTATAAATTATATGATTATTTATAAAACTGGTTGTAAGTGGTATTTTGCCTTAAGACAAGTTACATTAATTTTCTGATACATAATCAACTTAATCAATGAGAATTGAGATTCAGCTATTTAGATGTACTGTTTATTTCGAAAAAAACATTTTTTTGCTTTCACTGTAAGATAAGGACGGTTTTCAATTCATGTTTTTCATACTTACTTACAATATATGTAATTGTGTAAATTAAATTAATTAATTTAACACATTTAATTTTACTCTACTTCGTGTTCAAAAATGTATTTTATTCAAGTGTGGACGTCAACGGTAAGCAGTAATCTACAAAAAACGTAGAATTAAGCATGTTTTGTATGCCTATAATGTTTTAGTCTGCTCGTTTAGATAATTTATTAAAACTAAAAAGTTAATTAGTTTAAGTTGTAGTTTGACAAAAACCAAAAAAATGCCCTGAATTTTCAAAAATTCAAATCATCAAAAAAAGGATGCTTACATATAAAATTTGTGAGCTATTTGACAAAAACCAAAAAAATGTCCCGAATTTTTTATTTATATTGCCAAAGGATGAAATATCGAATTCAAAGTCGTTTTATTCAAAACTTTTATATCTGTTTATAAGTGTTTAAGTACAGGGGAATGTAGTTAATTTTATCTTGTTTTTTCCTATCTAACTCAAAAAGAGTGCTTTCATATAAAGTTTGTAAAACTTATTTGCTACTGTACAAGATGGCATTTAAGTAAAAATAAATACATCATATAACAATTTTCAATAATGTTTATTAGTAATATGGTAACTTTCGTGATGCACACATTTATTAGTGTCAACCGTTATACACATTTCTATAATCATAAATTATAAATTATATATTTATAAACGCATTAAAAATATGTGTAATATTTAAAAACAATACTTAAAGTCATACTTCAAATATGACATGATCGGTTTGTCATTGTAATTAGCATTCAGAAATGCATCTTCATTAGAGAAATGTAGTAATACTTCGTGATTAATGAATTCTATAATATTCGTTCACACAGTGGATTATGTTAAACAACGCATAAACAAATATTGTTTTTGCACCATCAATTATTATCATGTAATAATTGTGTTTGAAAAACTTTATGTAAATAAAATTAACATACATTCATTGACTGCTTGTATTTTTTTTTTTACTTTTTTGCTGGCGATATAATTGCATTCTTTAAACAGTGTAATATCTGTTTTTCCTAAAAATATTTTCCGTTTTAATAACTTCAAAGATTTATAGAAACTACTAATAATATAGAAAGAATTTCTAATCAATAAACTTATGTTTAGTACACGGCACAAATGTTTAAATTTGTTTAATTTATTTCCAAGGAACAGCGTGAAATATTCTTCTGGTTCAGGCATTTTTCATTATATCAAGATTTGTACTACGATGATTAGATTAGTACTACAATGTAACTTTAAAATGTTTTTTTTATCTATGCCGATTTCCTCATTGATATCGTTACGCATACAACGTTGATGCCGGTATGCATACAACGACAGATCTCTATTCACATATACGACGGCTAATCACAATCGACCCGTATAGAAATGATATCATCGAGAGCGAATGACGAATCATTGGCACTCGACTCTTATCTTATCTTATCTGCCGTAACGCACTTCCGTTGCATTTGTACGGATTTACAGCCTAGTCGCGCCTTAAGAAGTTTTACTTCAAAAGTTGTTAAGTTATCCAAATTCATCAAAGAATCTACATTTTTTGTAGTACTGATTACCGTTGATGTCCACACCTAAAGTATATTTTTAGAAGACGAAATTGATGTAATGAAATGTATTAAATAAATTATATACATTCATATATATATATATATATATATATTTATATATATATATATATATATATCTTCTATATATATAAAAATAAGTCGGGTTTTCCTTCCTGACGAAATAACTCCAGAACGCACGAACCGATTTCGACAATTTTGCATTCGTTAGAAAGGTCTCGGGCTCCGCAAGGTTTATAGCTAAGAAAATTAGTGGTGCATGGCATCGTGCCCTAATGCAAATTGCTGAAACTTCACGCATTGTAATTAAAAATTCGAGTAATGACATTAGTGAGAATTATCAGAATTATGCTTGGTTAAGTCAACGAGCAATTCTTGCCGCAAAGAATAATGATGTACACGCACTGAATTTTACCATTCAATCAAAAATTGCTGTCGATTTGGTGACATACCAATGACTCTGACTGGTCTTCCGTTTGACTTCAAACGATTGCAATTTCCAGTTGGCTTTGCGTTCGCAATAACAAGTCGCAAGACCAATCGCTTAGTGTTTGCGGGATAAATTTCAAATAGATTATTTAGATAATCATTGTTTTTCACATGGGCAGTTATACGTTGCCTGTTCACGAGTTGGAAAACCATCCACTTTGTTTGTGTTAACGTCAGACCAAAAAACAAAAAATGTGGTTCACCAAAGAGCACTTCAATGAAACGGATAATTGGCAGATTCACTTTCATTTACTTAGAGAAGTTCAATTAAAAAACACTTCATTTTTGTAATCGAAATAAATTCATTACTGTTGTATAATAATCACATTTTTCCTTTTCAAATATAAAACAAACAAAAAATTTCTTCATCTTTTTCACGAAACCATCTGGTGGCGAAACGGAGTTTGTCGGGTTTGCTAGTATATATATATATATATATTATATATATATACATACATACACATATATAAATACACACATACATATATATTAGAAGCCGCACTAGAAGTACGACTTCAATATGATGGTTGTTTATTAGTACTAGTTTCGACAGTAGATTTCTGTCATAACCAATACTTAAAAAAAAAACAATGTTTTCAAACAAACATTGATAATCATATATTTATTTATGAAAATAAATATGGACACATCTAGTGTTGAAACCAGTACTAATTCATATATATTCATATTCATTTATAGACGCATTT